CCCCCCCCCTCCCGGTCGCTTCAGGTCCCAAAGGAAGAGCGGCTCGTGATGGGAGAGGAGGGTCGGCTGTCCCCCCACCCCACAAGGCTCCTGGATTCCCTGGCTCTGTGGCCCCCTCCCTTCGTCCCCCCAAACCAGGATCACAAAAGCGACTGCAGAAGAGGGGGGAGCAGTTCCTTTATTTCGCAGCTTCTGTGCTGTGGGGGAAAAAAAAACCCGACATTCGCTCGCACTTGCACGCTTGCCGAGAGACACACAAACAAACGAGGGGGGGGGGGCAAAAAAACCCATATTTACAGACTTGTCATATAAATATTTCCAATGTACACTTTATACACAAGTGACTTGAAACCGGGGTGGGGCGGGTGGGGCAGAGGAGGGGGGCCGGGAGGTCTCAGCCAGCATCGAAACCGCACTCCCCCCCCCTGTTCCTGCCCCCCCCTCCCCGGAGTCCTCACACCGGGCTGAGGCCTTTGCAGCAGGTCCTGGGAGAAGCAGAAAAGGCGGCGAGGGGGACGTGGGTAACGGGGAGGGGATGGAAACCAGGGGGGTCTCCTGCCCAGCACCCCCAACGGCGTCCACGTGCCCTTTCTCTTGGGAGGGGGGGCTGCAGAAGGGTACCCCATCCCCTCTTCAGAAGCTCTATAAGTCTCTTTGGGCCTCCAAAGGAGGGCGAGGAGCATGCGTGGGTAGCGGGGGAGGACGCCGGACGACGTCTTAGCCCGGGCAGCCCGGCTCGGAGAGCGGCGTGCCGGAGGAGGCGTTGTTGTTGATGTTCCGGCGCGGCAGGCTCGGGGTGAGGCTGCCGGCCGGGGCTTCGCCGGGGCAGCCGTGTTGCAGCAACATCTCCACGCACTCTTGACTGCCGGCCCGGCGGGCGTAGCCCAGGGGCGTCAGGCCCCGGGCGTCCCGGCTCTTCACGTCCACGCCGTACTGCAGGGAGGGGAGGAGAACACGCCGAGTTCAGAGGGGGTCCTGCGTGTGTGGGAGAGGACCCAGCCTGCGTGTGTGTGTGTGTGCCTCTGTGTGTCCCTCCTTACCCAGATGAGCAGCTGGGTGAAGACCACGTTGGCCATGGCGCAGGAGAGGTGCAGCGCCGTCCGGCCGTCCCCGTCGCCGTAGGTCTCGTTCACCTCCTCCTTGGAGCCGTGGGCCAACAGCAGCACCACCGTCCGCAGGTCGTCCTCCACCACCGCCCGCAGCAGCTGCTGGCCCAGGGGCACGTCCGAGTGGGGCAGGGGGGCCAGGAAGAGCTTCTGCTCGTACTTGGCCCGGATCCAGCGCTCTTTCTCCTCCCTGCCCAGAGAAAAAGAGAGGGAGGGACGGAGGGAGGGAGAGCGAGAGAGACGGGCTGTCAGGGGGGCCTTGGGGAGGTGCCACCCCGCTATCTGGACTCCCCAGCTGGAAAGGAGACGGGCACGGCGGCGCTATCGCCCCTGCCATCTCCCGCACACGCACCAAAAGGGCGGGGGGCGATCCATGCGGCCGGCACCCCGCTATCTAGCCTCCTATTCTAGCCATCTGCGTCCCGACTGAGCACGCTCGCCTCCCTGACCCCCAGACCGCCGCTGTTGTCTGGGTGTCCGGATGAGTGAGTGACAGGCCCGGCCAGACAAGGCGGCGGGACTTCCCTTGGGCCGCCCGGCCCGGGAGGGGGCGACTTAACCCATTCTTCCCCAGTCCGGGCAGCCCCCCGCTGCTGCCTCCTCCTCCTCCTCCTCCGAGCTGGGGGGCACGGACTCGGAGCAAAGGAATGTCCCCCATCCGTTCCTCTCAGGGAGGAGATTTAGCCCCCCAACCCACAGGTGGCCACAAGAAGGGAGCGAGCCGGGCGGGGACCCCTTCTATCCCATTCCTAGGGGTGGGTGTGGGTGGGGGGCATGCTGGGTTCACCAGAGGGCCCAGGAGTGTACCCCAAAAGGCGGTGGCAAGGACAGCCCCCTCCCCGTCTCTTTGGGAGCCTCCTCCGGGGTCTCAGCTGAAAGAGGTCCGAGGGGGACACACGGACGGACGGAGGGAAGAACGGGGGGGGGGGAGTCCTGCCTGGCACCTCCTGACCCAGCACAGCCCCCCCCCAACTCCCTGCAGAATATATCTGGAGGATAATCCCCTGCCCCCCCCTCCTGGATGAAGACCCCCCCTCCACAAGTCCAGGGCGGGCAGCAGGCGGGGTAAGAAAATTCAGAGGCTCCTCTTTACGACGGTCGCAGTGACTCCTGCGACCTTCCCACGAGCCGAGTCAAGGGGGGGGAAAAAGAGAAGGTGGGTTCACTTATGAACCGGGTCGTCGTTCCTAAATTGAGAACGGAGAGTGGCGGGAGAAGCCGGAAGACGGGGCAAAAGCTTCCTTAACAAAGCTCTCCCACAGTCAACAGAAATTCTGGGACACAGATACACACAAACACACATCTTTCGGTCCAAAGCCAGCCGTGGGCCCGCCTGACTCTCCGGCAGTCGCCCCCACATTAAACCACCTTGCAAATCACGTCGTCCGTGGGCAGAGCGCTTCCGCATTAGAGACGTCGCACAATCGAGACGAGACGGGCTGGATTTCAGCCACCGGAGGGGCTGCCTGCCTGGTCCTGAAATCCACTTGGGCCTTCCTGGCCCCTCCTCAATCCGGCCTTCCAAAGGGACCCCCGCCCGGAAAGCCTCAACCGCTTTCCTTCCGCCTCACCCGGGGCCTCCAGAGGCCCACCGGCTGGGCATCCCTCTCAGGCTTTGGGGCTGCCCCTCCTGGTCCTCCTGACAGCCCCCAACGCGCACACTCCCGACACAAACACCACAGAGCTGACCCATTCGGACGAACGTCTGGGTTACCCAGACGGCCCAGCGTTAACTCGTGCCCCGGGTGCCGCCGGCTTTGAGGATCCGGACTGCGGGACGAACCGGGTTTTCTGCAAGGGTCTTATTACCCTGCGGGGCTTAGTGCAACAGTTTTGTGTGTGTGTTTGTGTGTGTGGTACGGGCTTCCCTGTGGCACCCAAGGCCTCTGGCGGGTCTGGGTGGGTGGGGCAGGACAGGCCCTCAGCCATATGTGTGTGTGCGTGTGTGTGCTGAGGAGGAGACCCCCCACCTCCGAGAGGGGCAAGGAAGAGGGGCGGAGTCCGGGCCTACCTGCAGCTCTCCGGCCCCGGCTTGGGGTAGCTCTTGGGGGCGCCTTCCCAGACGGAGTTGGCCAGGCTGTTGCCGATGGCCGTCATCACCATCACCAGCTCCAGGGCCCAGTCGTCCAGGTCCAGGGAGCGGACGCGGGACAGGTGGGTGCCCAGGTGCCGGTGGATGCCCGAGCACTCGATGCAGATCAGGGCGCCCAAGTTCAGGCTGGCCCAGTCCGGGTCTAGGGGCGGGAGGGAGGAAGGGGGGGGTGTCAGCCCGGCTGCTGAATGCCCCCCTCCCCAAATCAGGTCTCCCCCCTCCCAGCCTCCCGTCAGCTCCTCCCACGGCCGAGCCCAGCCTCCTGTCCATCGGCTCCCGGAAGGCCTGGGGGGGGGCTCAAGGGGACACGGGAAAGACCCCCCCACCCCTTCACCCAGGGGAACCCCCCCAGAAGCTCTGGGGGGCTCCTGAGGGCTCAAGAGGATATGGGAAAGCCCCCTGCACTCAGGGGAACCCCCCGAGAAGACCTGGGGGGGCTCCTGGGGGCTCGAGAGGACACGGGAAAGCCCCCCCCACCTCACCGCCCGGCTACTCACTGGCCGCGTCGCAGTCCACGCAGAAGCTGTTCCCCCGGACGGTGCGGATGGACTGGAGGGCGACCGCGTCACTCTGGCTGCCCAGCCGCGACTAGAAGAGGACGGATTTCAGCCACGCTGCGGCGGGCAGCCGGAGAGCAACCGACAGCTGCCGGTGTCTGTGTATGTGTGTCTCTGCCTTTCCCCGGGAAGCTTTCGGCCCGGCGGACGAGCCCAAACGGAGCAGAGTCGCGTCCGCCTGTCCCCCCCACCCGAGACCGAAGCCCCCCTCCCCCTTCGCCCCTCCCCCGCCGCACTCACCTTGTGCTTGCTGCTCTCGCAGCCCTGCAGGCTGGCCAGGATCTGGCTCTCGATGGCCTGAACCCAGAGCTCCCTCTCGTCGGCCGTGGAGGCCTCGAAGAGCCACGACTGGCCCGTCAGGGAGACCACCACGAACTCAAAGCTCTCCTCTTGGTCTGCAAGGCCGGGGGCGAGGCGGGGGGGGTGTCTCAGTTTCCACGCCGACGTGCTTTCCCCCACCCCCCCCACCCCGGAGCCTCCAGAAAAAGAGAGGAATTGGGGAGGGGGCGCCCGGCCCGTCTCCTCCAGCGCCCCCCCGTCCTTTGGAGGAGGGGTAGCAAAGGCTCCGCCCCAAAATGGCTCCTCGGGAAAGGAGGGGCCCAAATCGCCCAGGGCCCGCCCTGGAACGCATCCCAAAGGCAGCCCTTTTCAGAACGGGCGCCATCTTTTCCTGGGTTCCCACATCCGCCAGACGCCCGGGTTTCCCGATGGCTAGGAAAGGAGGACCGGAGACCATCAGGCCCAGCCGAAGGGGCCTTCAGAAAGGGGCCCGTCGGAGAAGGCCGGTCGCGGACCCTCCCGGAGACCCCCGCAAGGGAGCAGCCGCTGAGGCAGCCTGCAAGGGCAGGGCCCAAACGGGGACCGCTGCGGCAGTCCGGCCGACTCGCGGCCGGAACGTCTTATCCGGGGAGGGGGGCAGCCGATGGGCCGAGGGTTGCCGAATGGGCTCAGCAGGCAGAAGAGAGCCAGAGATTTTGGGGGGGTCTCCTTTCAGAGCAAGGGGCCGGACCCCTCCCCAGATTTCTCCCTCTCCCCCTCCCAGCCTGTCCGAGGGGGCTAGAACAGGGGTGTCAGTGCTTCAGGCCGAGGCTGATCCCCCCCCTCCCCGGGGTCTCTCCTGGCTGGGCTCAGAGCCCACCCGCTCAGCCCTGCTGTGTGGAAAAGTGGGGGGCGGGCACAGGGACCCTCTCCCGCCCACTTGCAGCTCAGCGGCCCCCTCCTCCAGGTCCACTGAGGCCGCCCCCAAACCCCAGCCGAGCAAGGGGCTGCCTGGGAGACTGAGGAAGGGGCCAGCTCTTCTAAAGGGGGGACACCCCACAAGCCCCCCCCTCCCCAGGCCGGCTCCCCCTTCCTCTCGGGAAACGACGCCCCTGGGGATCGAGCTTTTTAGGGCTCCGAGAGCCCCCGAGACACCACCAGGCGCGTTGGGCAGCACGGGGGGGGGCACCGGCGTCTCCCCACTGGGCAGGCTGTGGGGGGGCGCAGAGGGCTGGAGCTGCCCCCCTTTTCCCCTCTGTCGCTTGTGCCCACCATCTCCTCTCCCCCCCTTCAGCCCAGTTCAGCCCCACTTGCTTACTGGGGGGAGCACCCAGTCTGCCTCCGTCCGCGCCCCTGCCCTGCCCCACTGCTGCAACCCAGCCCCGGGGTCGTCTATGGGGAGAATGGGGGGCAGCGGCGTCTCCCCACTGGGCAGGCTGTGGGGGGTGTGTGTGTGCAGAGGAGGACCCTCTGGGCTGGAGGTGCTACCAGTCTCCTCTCCCCCCTCCCCAGTCCAGTTCAGCCCCACTAGCTTACTGGGGGAAGCACCCAGTCTGCCTTCGTCCGTGCCCCTGCCCTGCCCCACTGCGGGGAAGGGCTCAGTTTGGAGACAGGGTGGAAGGAGGGAGGGAGGGGGCTGCACGGAGCCTCCCTGCGCAGCCCTCCCCTTCCCTCTCCCCCTGCATTCCTGGGGCCCCGGGGCGAGCCCCCCCCCTCAACTCATTAGCTCAGTGACTGACCAACTGAGAAATTAGAGGAACATTTGCGTAATGGGATGGGAGCGGGGGAGGGAGGGTGGGAGGGAGGGGGGAGGCTGGCGCGGCCGAGGACTTGGCACCTCGGGCGGCCGGTGGTGGGCAGCAGCGGGCAGGAGGAGTGAGGGCCTGAGGGCTGGGGCCGGCCGCCCGCCGCAGCCTGATGGTTTTTGGATGGTGCTTCACGGAGCGACGGCTGGAGTGGCGGAGAGAGCGAACGCCCTGTCGCCCGTTTAATGGCTCTTAACCCCCGAGACCTCGTCTCCCGGCAGCTGCCACGGCAACCAGCCCTCCAAACGAGGGGGAAATTAGCGGGGGGGGGCACTTGCCACCCGGAGGCTGGTGGACCCCACCGGTTCCCTGCCCACTCCGGGTGTGGGATGTGCGTGTGCCCCCCCTTCCCTTGCCTGGGCCTGTCCTGCTTCTGCAGCCACGGGATGGGGGTGGGAGGGCTGTCCCCCCCCCCCGGCAGCCTTGCACAAAGGCTTGCTGGGGGACTCCGCAAGCAAAAAAAAAAACGGGTACTGGGGGGTCTGCCTGTGGCGGGGGGCCATTCGTAAACGTCAACTCGGCTGCCGCCTCATTTTGCAGCTCATTAAACCCAATATTCGCAACCTGTATTAGTGCGGCGGGACCCCCTCCTCTCCTCCCTCTCCCCCACCGGGCGAGGCGCAGCACGGGGAGGGGCGGGCGAGGGTGGGGAGAACAACAAGAAAACATCCCCCCCCTGCTCCCGGAGGGGAAGGAGGGCCGGGCGCTAAAGGGTGGCACCGGGGAGTGGGTGAGTGGCCGACCCCGGAAGGGAGGGCGTCAAGTGGGGCCACCCGTCCTGGCCGGCTGGCAGAGCTCAGAGTGGGGCAGAGGTGCTCCCGGGGTGGACGAGGGCCGCCAGCCGGTCGTCCTGGCCCAGGCAGGGGGGCAATGCTCTCAGACCCTCCGACGCTCTGGCAGAGGGAGATGCCAGCGCCCTTGCCCACACGTAGGGAGGCCAGGGCTGCTGGGGGGAGGGCTGTGAGCTGCGGGTAAAGAGCAGCAGCCTGTGTGTGTGTGTGTGTGTGTGTGTGTGATTTATGACCCTTCAAAGCATCCATGGCTCCTCCTGGCGCTTCCCCCTCGCCCGCCCTCCTCCCGGGGTGCCAACCTGTGGCTGGCGTGCCAGTGATGTGGCGCCCACCCTTTCCCGGCCCAAACCCCGAGGCGGCCTCCCACCGTCGTCTCGCTGCCGGCACCAAGGACCGGGGCAAGGCTAGGGCAGCGACCCGAGGGTCTTCCGCGCTGGGACTCGCAGCCCCAGATGGCACAGCCTCGGGCGAGGAAGGCGGCGTCACCGCTTCCCCCCCAGGCCGCCGGACACATCCGGGCCAGCTTTCCTGCAACGCACGGCGTGGACGTGTCTCGTTGGGTCAACGGGCGTCCGATCGCGTGGTGGGAACCCAGGAAAACGATGCGCTCCGTCGGGCCAAACGGGGTCCTTTTGTGACAGCCGGCCGTGCCAGGAGAGACACTCTCTCGGTGTGAACACCCCCCCCACCGGCTGCCCCCAAAGCCCAGAGCAGAGCCCGCCTGCCACGCGCCCCTCCTTTACCGAAAGGGCGTCTGTGTCGGCTCTCTGCACCAGCACAGGAGACTCGGAGGGCCCAGGAGCTCCCCGGTGCCCCCGCCCCGTGCCCGGCTCCTCCCCCCCCACCCAGAGAAGAAGCGCCCGAGCTCTCACCTTCCGCCACGCTGCCCGCCCCATCGGGCCGTCCGGTGCCCGTGCTCTTTTTCCGACGGTGCTTCTTCCGGTTGGCATGAGGGGACGGGGGCGGCTCCAGCTTGGGGCTGGCCGTGCTGGAGACGTTGGGGCTGGAGCTGAGCGAGTCGCTGGCACCGTTGGCTGAGGGGGGGGAGAGCAAGCAGAAAGAGGGGGGCAAAGAGTCAGGACCCCCCTCCCTCTCCCAGGCAGACCCCTGCCAGGGCGCGGGAGAGAGAGAGAGACACGTCGCGGAGCTGCCGCGCGCCAAATTTATCCTCAATCATACTGTTCCTTACAATTAATAGCAGAATTAGAAACAATCAGGGAGATGGCTAATTACTGTCAATTAGAGTGCACTAATCAAGCTCGGTCACACACACAAGCTCCGCGTGCGCGCACGCACACACACATACACACCCTCCGCCACGGCTCTCGCCATTAAATGTCAAATTTCATTAGAGACCAGCAACAAAATCAGAGCACTGGCGTTCGCTTCCAACCGCGGAGAGCCAAGTGGCTCCAATCAGCGCCGGGCGGAAGCCGCCCTGCCAGGGCCGCCGGCCCCCCCTCATGCCCCTCTACCACCCCCCCAGGGCTGAAGGGGCAAGGAGGGAGAGGAGGGGGCAGCACCGTCCTTCCACCGGCCCTGTCACCCCAATGGGCGGCCCAATGGGGTGACAGGGAGAGCAGCCCCCCCCTCCCCAAATGCTCCACCAACTCTCTGGGAGAGGGCGGGGTTGGGGGCAAGTGAATCAGGGGAGATTGAGACCCCGGGCAGAGGGGTGGGGAGGGGTCTCTGACGTCTCTTCCTGTCCGCTTTGGAATGAGGCCCCATGTTCAGCAGCTCCCCCACCGAACCTATGGGTGGCTCTGGGGAGGGCCACCCCCCAACTCCTCACACAGGCAGGCAGGCAGGCTGGCCGCCCACGCCAGGCAAGGGCTGCCCGTCATCGGGCCCGTGGCGCTCTCCGGCCACTGCTCAGCCCCTCCCCTCCCCTGCCCGTGACCGGTTCCGTGCAGAGCGCTTTTCCCGCGGACCGGATGGTACGTGGTTCTGCGTGCTGCCTGCACCCCACGGACGCGGCTTCGCTCGTCTCTGCAGACCAGTTGCTGGCATGCCGGGACCGGTACTGGTCCAGGGACCAGGAATTGGGGACCCCTGCCCTAGATCAGAGCCCCCCAACCTTTTGGGCACCAAGGACCGGTTCCGTGGAGAGGGCTTTTCCCACAGACCGGACGGTACGTGGTTCTGCGTGCTGCCTGCACCCTACGGACGCAGCTTCGGTCGTCTCTGCGGACCGGTTGCCGGCATGCCGGGACCGGTACTGGTCCACGGACCAGGAATTGGGGACCCCTGCCCTAAACCAGAGTCCCCCAATGTTTTTGGGCAGAGGGGATCACCGGTTCCGCGGAGAGGGCTTTTCCCGCGGACCGGACGGCACGTGGTTTCGTGTGCTGCCTGCTTCAGTTTTTTTGTGTGGCCCGGTTGCTGGCCTGCCGGACCCGGTACCGGTCTGTGGGTCAGGAGTTGGGCTGCTGCAGGGCAGGGCCGGCTCCTCCCCACACATCCGGGCCGGGCCCTCTGCCCCGGCTGGCTGCCTGGCTGCCGCCACTACCGCCGCTGTCGCCGCCCGCTCCCTCGCCCGCTCGCTCTGCCCCATCAGCAGTAACAGTCTGATTAATTCGCTTCCAGCAGGGAGCTGATGGGCCAATGATGGAGGCGCTGCGCCAGGCGCGCTGAAATTGATAGTTTTTCACAGTTACAAATGAGGAGCCTCCCCGGCTCCAAATGGCGGCGGCGCAGTCGGACTCCGGTAATGATCATAAAGAGGCTCTCTTTAAACTGCGAAAGCCCCTGGGAAGGGGGGGGCGGAGGGGGGGGCGGGGGCGGCTGCCGCGCTAATGAGAACGACAAGGGGGCGAGCAGGCGTCGCGCGGAGGCGGCCTCCCTCTTGATGTGCGTTTAACGGCTTTTTTACTGCGGCGGCCGAGCCAGGAAGCACCGAGTGATGGATGCCGCACAGAAGCATTTATTTTCCAATTCGGCAAAGTGGCTGCGTTGGGAAATGTATGAATTATTTTAATTCACTCAACTGTCCTGAAACACCCGGGCTGCAGGGAGGGAGGGGAGGCGGGCGAGGCGAGAGGCAGCGGCGGGGGCTTCTGCGTGCTCGGCTCAGCCGGCTGCAGGCCCGGCCCTGCGCCAGGCAGCCGGAGGAAGGGCTGGCCCCACTGCCCTAGGGTCAGGACAGCCGGCCCCCTGCCTGGCGGTCCGGTGCCAGCCCGGCTTCTCCCTCCGGGGACGCAGAGAAGATCCTCCCCTTGCAGGCTCCATGCAGCCACCCCCGCCTGGGCAGCGCCAGGAGAAGCAGGCAGTCGAGGTCCAGCCAGGACAGCGTCTTCCTAACCATGAGAGCCAGCAGGGGGCATCCTTGCCCCCCCTCCCACCCCGGAGGGCCCGGGGCCGCACAAAGGGGAGTGGTACCCCAAGGGGACGACCAAGCGGAGGGTTTTCTCCCGACGGTTTTAGCCGAGGACGGGCAGCGACGTCCACCCTCGGCGTGCGCCCACTCACCTGCGTTGGGGGCGCCGCTGGTCACGACGACCGCCTCGCTCCACTGGTCCGCGCTGGAGACCGAGTAGGACCGCTGGTGAATGCCGCTGCCTTCCGGCTTCAGGCTGAACCCCCCCAGGTTGGTGCCGCTGCCCGAGCGCTCCGAGTGCAGGGAGGTGCTGCTGGCCGAGTGGGGGGCACCTGCGAGGAAGCGGGAGAGAGAGAGAGAGAGAGAGAGAGACGGGCTAGCGGCAGGGCTGCTGCCCGTCCAGCCACCCCCAGCCTGGAAAGAAGCTGCCCAGCCAGGCGAAAACCCCACCACCAGATTTGGGGTCCCGGTCAGGCCAGGCGGGGGTTCAACCAGGGCTGTCCCGTCCTTCGTGCTCCCCGCTTTGTGCCAGGACATCCACGGCCCGACCTGGGAGGCCACGTTTTGGGAGGAACGAACCGGGGCCGAACTGGGGCCACAGGGCAGCTGTGCCAGGACCCCCACCCAAACCAAGAGCTCGGAAAGGGCCGGAGGGGGTCCGGAAGGCGCTCCCCACATAGACAGAGGTTGCCACCACGGAAGAAGTATCCGGGCATCCTGGGGTGGTAGACCCCTGGTTTCTTGGCACCCAAGCGAAGCCCTGAACCACCGGGAGACGGGCCCTGCTTTGCACGCTCCCTGGCGCCCACGTAGGGCCCCGAACCGCAAACGGAGAGCAGCCACTGAAAGGAAGGCCTCCCCTCCCTCTCGTCTCCCCCTCCCTATCCTTGCTTAATCCTGGCCTATTTGAGCAAGGTCTCCCGATGGGGTCTGCCCTGGGAACCTCAACCGTCTCTCTCGGCACGGGGTCCGCCCACGGGGCTCCGGGGAGGGCCGGGGGCTGCCTCGCCCAGCCAAACCTACCCAGACCTGCCAGAGAGACCCACCAGGACGGGGGTCTGCCTTGCCAGCAGGGTGTGTGTGTGTGTGTGTGTGTGTGTGTGTGTGTGTAAATTCCAGCCCCCGCTCGGCCAACGCCGTACCCTCAGTCCGCCCGGTTGCCAGGGCTGCGCAGACGTGCTCCGCTCAGGCGCCTCGCCCCCCCCCGTCGTCCAGGTTCAGCGCCTCAAAAGCGTGTGTAAAACCACGACACCGACTCTGCCTCTAATTAGCCCTTAATTTACAAGACAGGCTCGGAAGGATAATTAGCTGCGGCGCTCGGCTCCCGACTCCGCGGCAGCCATCTCTTCCGCTGCCGCCGGCCCTGCCGGGAGGGTGAAACCGGCCCCGGGTAGCCGCCCGACCCCAGGCGGGAGGGCAAGAGAGCGGCCCCCTCAGTCAAGCTTCTCTCCCCCCGTATCTCCTGAACGGCCCCTCCTCCGGAACCCGCTCCCGGTCCCATTTTTGGTGCTGGGAAGAGCCTCCACCAAGCTCCGGCTGGGGGGTCCGTCCGGGATCCAAAGGAACCCAATATGGGCCAGACCTCATGGAGGGCAACGCAAGGGGTGCCTCGCTAAACTTGGGGGGTGTGTGTGATGAAAAGGGAGGCCGTGTTGGGGAGCAGGCGGGGTGGGGAATGCCGAGGGACCCCATCCGGAGACCCCGCGGCGCCGTGTAGCAAACCAAGAAAAGCAGGGACGCCGGCAGAAGATGTCCCTTCCAAGGGAGGAGAGCACCCCCATAGCCTTGGCCCGATGGACGTGAAGAGGGCCTGTCTCCTGGGGGCCCCCAGAGGCCATCAAAAGGGGCTGCCTTTCCCGGCTCCTCATCTGAGAAGAGCAGAAGCCCCCGAGCTGTGGGGAGACTGGCACAATTCGCGGGCCTGGGGCTGAGCGGGGCAGCCCGCCGAGGGGAGGCTGCCAGCAAGCCACGACCCAACCCCGCTTCCCCAATCTCTCCGTGGCCCCACCACCTTCTTCAGCTGCGGAGGGGAGACGAGAAGCTGGACCCCCCAAACCAAACGCCAGCGGCAGCCTCCAGGCTTGCGGGCATTTACAGTGTGTGTGTGTGTGTGTGTGAGACACAGCCCGTGTCCTTCCAGGCCCAAAAGAGGGGGGGAGGAAAGCCCCAGATCATCCCCCCCAAACTGGCAGGACAAGGCCGAGGAGGAGAGGCACAGAAGGAGCCCCCCCCTCAAGAGCCAGCTGGAACGTCCCCAACGTCAAACGGGAACCCCGAAGGATCTCCCGGCTGGCTCTCGCGGAGGGTCCCGCCAGATGACCTCCGAGGCCATCTCCTGCGAGGCAAATATTTGCCGGCTCTACAACGTGTCTCGCGGGAGCCCGTCTGCCACAGGCCGGAGTCTCCTCGTGGGCGAGAGGATCCCGGGAACACTCGGCGAACCCTCCGGCTGACGCTCCGAGCGCAGCCACACACGCCAAAGCCCCGTCATCCCTCAGGCGCGTCGGCCGGTCCGGTCTTCGGCGGGCAGGGAACAGGGAGGGACGGGCTGGGATGGACATCGGGAGGGGGGGGCTGTTCTGACTTCAAAAGGAAGTGCCCCGTAGACTGGGGACCCTCCGCCTGGCAGTGGCCACGGCGAGCTCACGACAGCGTCCCCTGCCGCACGTCAGGCTGTCTCCAAGGGCAGCCCAGGCAGGGCAAAGGGCAGCCATCCAGCCACGATCCACTGCCAGCATCTGCCCCATAAGGTGTGTGTGTGTGGGGAGCTCCCGGATGGCAGGAAGGGGTGGGGGGCTGATGGGGAGGCAGCCGGCTGAGCAGGCTGGGCAGGTGGGCACCCCCCCGAGCCAGTTTGGGGAGGGGGGTCTCTCTCTCTCTCTCAGGCCTGGAAAGGCAGGTAGGAAGATGTGGGGGGGGGGGCAGGTGGATGGGAAGACCCCCACCCCGAGGCACCGGCGGGCAGATTGCAGGGGGGGGAAGGTCTCTCCTCCGTCCTTTTAACGCTCGGACGTCAAGGGGCCTTTCTGAGTCCAGATGCTCTCTGGGAGACCCCACCCCGAGGCCTGACCAACAGGAAGGACTCCCTGCCACTGGACGGGGTGGGGGGGTGG